GAAAAGCGATAATTAGAATTGTAATAAAAAGCCTAAACACAAAAAAGTGAATTTATACATATAGTTTTTGTTCTTAAAAAGTGACAACAAAAATAATAAACATTATTTATTTATTAGATTGTTTATTTGAGATAATATCTACGGGTTAATCCTATTTACTTATCAGAGGATAAAATTCAGCAAGCTGGATTTAATAATCGTTATTAGTGAGTTTGATTCTTACTAAATATTCCCTAGACGGCCATTTTTATTTGTACCGCTTGGGGCAATCGTATAATTTGCCAACAACATCGACATCTGAACAACATTGGATCAAATTTGGAATCTGGACGACATTTGTAAAATAGGAAGACAAATTATTATTGAAACAATGGCAAAAAAACCCTCAGTGGCAGAAACAAAAACAAACACAAGAAAAATAAAAAGATGGAAAAAAAACATTTAAAAAATAATTCGAAAAAAAAATCAATCATTGCAATAAAGCCACTAAGACGCAAGTAGTTACTGATTGTAAAAGAATCTGAGAAAAAGAAAAACACTATTAAGGACAATAAAAGAACGGACATTTATAAAATAGCGATCGACATTGCTGTTAAATTTTGGAATATCAAAGTTGACTGGAAAGCAAAAATCCGGAAGCGAGTTCCACAAGCAACAAGTGCGAGCGGTAAAACTTATCATAAAAATATTTATAAAAAAAGCTACGAGAAATTTAGGTTACGGCGGTGGGAAGGAACTAAATCCGAGATGGCAGGTCAGAGCCAATAATATTGTAGATTCTTCTTTTTTTTAATTTCACCTCAATCAAGGCAATAAAGCCACTAAGACGCAAGTAGTTACTGAGTGTGAAAGAATCAGCGAAAAAGAAAAACACTATTAAGGACAATAAAAGAACGGGTATTTAGAAAATAGCGATCGACATTGCTGTTAAATTTTGGAATAAAACTTATCATAAAAATATTTATAAAAAAGGTACGACAAAGTTAGGTTACGGCGGTGGGAAGGAACTAAATCCGAGATGGCAGGTCAGAGCCAATAATATTGTAGATTCTTCTTTGTATCTTATCAAGAATCTCTGAATCCATAGCAGAAGAACCAGGCCTGATGTGGAAGCGTTATTCAGTGTATGGACAAATGGTAGACTTATAAATGTGTAAGATAAATTCTAGCGAGGAAAAAGTATCTAGTGAACCAATATTCTTAGCATCCAACCTAGCAATTGATGCAATATAATTCTTCCTCTTTATGTCAGTAGACAGCGTTAGCCCGAGAAGGCACAACACGTCACTCTTTTGAAGGCTAGCATCAGTTATGCTGATGAAAAGAAAAAAGTCAATTCTTGCCCTAATTAACAACAGTTTGCAGGGTTTTAGATCAGCTACCAATTTAACCCTATCGAACCGACCAGATTTTTTTTTCGAGAAACTTCAACGGTTAGCAGAGGTTTGTTGCCAGACAAAAATATATCGCCCAAAATGAATTGTTTCGTAAAGGTGCAAAGTAAAAGGGAAATACGCCGTTTAGAAAGTGACCAACGTTTATGGAATCGGAAAATCTCTTTAAGAGCGAAGAAAATGTCGCTGCTACATAATGTCTAATCTCCTATATGGCATTGAATGCTGGACAATTTCCTCTAAATCTTTTATAATCGTTTCACACTTGAGATCATCATTTGAATAACTTCAGACTATTATATCAACTACTACTATAAGGATACTACTAGGGGTAAAATAAAACGAAATTGTACTAAAAACAAAAGTGAGTCCACCTTTCATCTAAGAAATTATAGATTTGGATAACTTCAGACTATTATATCAACTACTACAACTAGGGATACTATTAGGGGTAAAATAAAACGAAATTGTATTAAAAACAAAAGTGAGTCCACCTTTCATCTAAGAAATTATTGATTTGGATAACTTCAGACTATTATATCAACTACTACAACTAGGGATACTATTAGGGGTAAAATAAAACGAAATTGTATTAAAAAGAAAAGTGAGTCCACCTTTCATCTAAGAAATTATAGATTTGGATAACTTCAGACTATTATATCAACTACTACAACTAGGGATACTATTAGGGATAAAATAAAACGGGTATTAAACAAAAAAGTAAATCTAAGTACTATAATTTGGATAATTCATAATTATATCAACTTATATATTCATACTGTTATTTTTAAAATAAAACCAAATTGCATTAAAAAAAAAGTGAGTTCTCATTTTATCTTGAATAAAACCACTAATATGCAAGAGGTTACTGAGTGTGATAGAATATTTGGAATAAAAACATTATTCGGGAAAGAGAACAATAAAATAAGCAGGAATTCCGAAGATGGCAATTGACATTGCATTTAAACTTTCGAAGATCAATGTTGGCTGGAAAGCAAGAAGCCAGAAGAGAGTTCCACAAGCGAAAAATGCGAAAGAATTTGAACTGTTTGAAAAATAACTGCATTTAAATCGAACTATCTCAACTGTAAAAGGACGAGGCATTGCTGCCAACATATTACTGCACTTGCATTCAGCAGTCAGATGAATTCTCTAACAGGACCATAGGTTGGTGATACCTAGTACCGTTAGGATGCTATTGCGGGGCATTTGGCTAATGCTTCTATTGTACTTTTTTTAATCATTTCACACCAACCAAGGTAATAAAGCCACTAAGCAGTAAGAAGTTAGTGTGTCTGATAGAATATGCAAAAAAAAAAAAAAAAAGGGATAAAATAACAACAAAAGATAATAATTGGCATTGCATTTAAATTTCTGATTAAAAAGTTTTCAACCCAGCTTTTTCCCTTAAACCTGCTATTTAAAGCCAGAAATATATATTTTTTAAATGCAATAAAAAATTTTAAAATTTTTTCATTTGAGATAATCATGACTCTAATAAAAGTATTACTAATTCATCCATTCTCAAGGGTTTTATTGTAAATGAATATAAAAACCTAACAGGAATTGAATCGCTCTTTTAACAACCATGAAAATATATCGTATTTTTAAGTTTGTTAAATGATTGACCAAAACAGTTTTTGATCACATGATCTACGCTGATTCTTTCAACCTCCTTACAATTAAGTTGACTTTTAATAAATTTTTTATGACTTTATAGATAAATTGTATACTTTCTATTTATCAACAGAACTACTACTAGGATACTATTAGTTAAACGAAATTTATAAATAAAAACCGATTTTTCTTCTGAAATGCCATTTTTCTAAAATCTAATCGTTTTCAAATATGTTTTACATATCATGCCTCCTTACAGTTGGTATTATTTTGGTTGAGTGATCGGAGTTAGAGCTTGATTGCCAGTTTTCTTGTTGCTGTTACCCTCATGGGTAATCCGCAAGCAAATTTGCACCTAATTTTCAAAAAACAGTGATCCGAAACTACAGAGAACATGCTGCCTAATCATTTCATAACTCAATGGTTCGCCATTACCATGTCTCGAAGTTTCTTAATCTTCTCGTCATTGGTGGCGGTTGACACGAGTCCTGCTCCATCTTCGTGCACTATATTTGTTCGGCCACTTTTATATTTCTCGACCTACTCATACACACTTCCACGCGGTAGAGCTCTGTCGTCGTATTGTGTTAAAAGGCTCCGGTGAATTCCCCCCTCCCCCCGAAAAACCTGACAAACAGAGAAATCAGGTCATTGCTCTTTGTTCCTCCTTAATCATATTGCTAACGAAATCATGTTTAAACTAAGACATAGTGCGATCAAATTCAAACTTCGATCCCATGACTAAAATAGTACCAACTATAAGCACGCATGAGCATAGAACAATGAGACACGCCTAAATCTATGTTATAGCGAAGCTGCAGCGAGACCAGACGAAAATAACTGTAATGTGACCAGACGAGAATGTTTGTAACGTGACCAGACGAGAATAACTGTAGCAAGACCAGACGAGAATGACTATAACGAGATTTGACACGAAATGACAGAATGGAAATCACATTTTCAAAAATCTCTTAGATTAAGCGTTTCTGAACGTGACGTCACAAAACAACAAAGTCAGGAAAGATACAGAACGATAATAATAGACATTTTTATAAACATTATTAACAGGAATGTTTTTTTGCGTATGATTTTTGACTGTCCTTCGTATTACTATTAGGAGTGACCTCCCACCACTACCAACAACGATAACAACAACAACAAAAAAACCCAATTAATATGTACAATGAATCATCTCAGAATTTTGAAGATATTCAAATAAAATATCATTTTTAAGCAGTTTTTAAGAGCCATTCTCTTTTTAATGAAAACAAACTTTACGAAAATCCTATAATTCTTTATAGACAATATTGCGTTGCGTTATCTAATATTATTATTACTATTATTATTTACTTACTTACTTATTTATTTATATATTATGTTCATAATTTTTTTACTGAAGTTGTCACAAACCAGCCTTTAGTCTTTTATCTAAATTTTCATGTTTTTCAAAGAGCAGATACTACTAATGAGAGATAAAATGCCATTCCAACTTTTAATATTCTGCGTTATTGCAAATTTTCCCCCATTTCCAGACGATTGTATTACCAAATGTCTATCTGATTCAGAAATTATTTTCTTCATAATATATTTTCCTTATAATATATGTTTCCATATTCTTTTGGTTTATTTATATATATATATATATATATATATATATATATATATATATATATATATATATTTTATTAAAAGAATAATAATAATATTAATAATTGTATTAAAATAATTCCCTATAAATAAGGTAAAAAAAAAACGGATAATACAATTTGTAAATAAAAATATATTTGAACAAACCCAATATCAGGGGAAAAAATTAAAAAAAAAAGAAGACTAAAAACATCCGTGCTGGTCGAAATTAATCAATCAGCACCGCATATATATATATATATATATATATATATATATATATATATATATATATATATATATATAAGCAAATATATGGATATAGATCCGGCAGTATGAAGAAAAATATACTGAAAAAACAAACAAAAATCCTAATATGCGATTATGCTGTTTTAATGTTTAATGTCAACGTCGGACAGATATCTGAAAACTTTTAATATACTCAAATTTTAGGAATACGTTTTCACAAAATCGTCCACGTGACGACGACGTGATCATATTTAAACGGAACGCTGATCTTATAAAAGATTTCAGTATCTGTTTGGATTGGTATTGCTTTTATTTCCATCGTCTTTTTCATGTTGAATTGTATATGGTCTATGTTAATTATGTTTTATGAATATGTCCTGAAGATTGTCTATTAGACCGAAACGTCCGACGTTGACATTAAACATTAAAACAGTATAATCGCATATTAGGATTTTTGTTTGTTTTTTCAGTATATTTTTCTTCATTCATATATATATATATATATATATATATATATATATATATATATAAATTTAAATAGAAAACAGACAACCTTGAGGTTATCTGTTTTTATTTAAATTAAAATTTCTCTGATTTGACATTGAGGTATCATTTTTATAACAAAATGTGATTAACCATTTTACAGATTATTTAAACATTTCTTTTTATTATATATATATATATATATATATATATATATATTCCGTATATATATATATATTTATATATATATGTTATTTAATGACCTATGTTTAAAATCCGTATGGATAATTTTATGAATGTCAAATTCCTCGCATTTTATTGATAAATATATATATATATATATATATATAAAAATATAAAATAGGAAATAGAATGGCCACAAAGTTTTTTTTTGAAATTTTTCAAATAGAAAACGTTTAATTATAACTAGATTTGATTATTTTTTGCCTTTTCTAGTTTCATCAAATCCCAAAAAAGAAAGAAACGTGTGTGTATATTCATTTTATTTTTACGTACAAATTTGACACAAGGCCGAAAGGGAAGTGGAGGTGGGGTTGGTCGTCATAGATATTAGTAAAAATTAACTATTCTGATTCATGACTCATTCATTTGTTACAATTCATTCGATCACCGTATAAACGCATCTCTCTTCAACCAACGCTGCATTTACCAAGATACAACATCCACATACTCACAGATAAACCTATTAATAATCCCCATGATGTATTATATATTATGCCTTTAAATTCCTTGAGTAACACAGGACCGCATGATATCGTCTGTTTTTTAAGTGAGTCGGCTGTTAGCCTACTGCACAAAACCCAATCTGGAGAACCAAGTTTTGAATTCAGAGTTGTCCTTCTCCTAAACCACTTCACAGTCAAGGTTATAGAACCCGGTCTGTCCTGTTATTTACCCATAGCTGAGGGGAGAAGAAGAGGTTTCAAACCTTTCCCAAGGGTATTAGCACGTAAGTGAATGTAATGGATTCGACTAGAATTCGAACTCAGCTCTCCAATTCCACTATCAATTACTCCACATTGCCTCCTTAGGGATATTTACAATTTTTTTTTCTCATTTGTTTTTTTTTTTAAATTAAATATCACGTGATGAGATGGGGAAGGTCGATTTTAATAATGTCTAAATAACTAATAATGGTACTTTTTCCATGAGATGGCGTTTCTTGTGGTTAAATAAAAGTATAAACTTTCGACACAAACTAAGAATTATAAAGGGAAAAAAAAAAGAAGAAAATTTAAGTTTTTTTTTAAAGTCACACATTTTCATTCTTTGCTTTCTTTTCTTTAATCACGACAGACGCCATTGTTTAAGCGTACACAAAGAAAAAGAGCGAGGAAAATAACAAAATAAAAAAGAAAGAAAATTGTAAATACCCATAACTTTTTCTACGCCACTGCCTTTTAGTAAGTACTCCTATGAGTATGTGGTATTTCGGTAAATGTAGGATTAGGTGAAGCGGGGGGTGTTGTTGTGGTGAAGAGGTAAATTGTAATGAATGAATGGATCACGAATCAGATTAGCTAGGTTTACGATACGCAGCGACGACCAATCTCACCCTAGTTCCACTTCGGTCTTGTGCCAGAGTTGTATGTAAATATACAATAAATATAGACACACATTTCTTTCTTTCGTTTTGGGATCTGATCAACCCTAAAAAGTTGAAACGCCTAATCAAATCTAGTTTCAATGAAAAGTTTTTATATTTTTAATTTCTTAATATATATATATATATATATATATATATATATGTAAGCAAATATATGGATATATATCCGACAGTATGAAGAAAAATATATACGGAAAAAACAAACCAAAAATCGTTATATACGATTATGTTGTTTTAATGTTAATATGTCAACGTCTGACGTTTCAGTCTAATAAACCATCTTCAGGACATATTCATAAATATAACATATCATCTTTGTCATGTTGTATTGATAATGTTATATTTATGAATATGTCCTGAAGATGGTTTATTAGACCGAAACGTCAGACGTTGATGTAATTATTAAACATTAAAACAAACATAATCGTATATAAAGATTTTGTTTTGTTTTTTCCGTATATATTTTTTTGATATATATATATATATATATATATATATATATATATATATATATATATTATTATAAAGCAAATCATAATTTAATATATATATTATTAAATATAACAGATAATGAATGTACATTATGTCTGATCATGAGATGTTCTAATGCCCGAATATTTACTTTAATTTCTGGTGAAAATTATGAAAAAGCCAAAAGCTTAGGACCAACAAAAAATATCCAAATGTTGGACAATATTTGTCTTTATTTTCACCAGAAAGTAAAGCAAACATTCGAACATTAGAACGGCTCATGATCAGACATAATAGATATTCAGTGTTTGTTATATTTAATAATGTGTGAATCATGAGCCGCATCAATGCGATTTTCGCCTCAGTATTTCAAAACTTACATTAGTTTGTCGTTGTATAAATATTCCATCCAAAACTCTTTGCGGCTTTATGATGTCACACATGATCACGCGACAGTGAAAACGAGAATTATTAAATATGCGATTTTCGCTTCCAGTGTCTCGTATGCACGAGTTTGTCATTACTTGGAAATCTTCCATGCAAACAAAAAACAGACTATCATTATTGCCATGTCCGTGTATTGTTTAATATATTGTAATGTTTTTATCATATTTGATGATGGTTTATATAAGCTGAAAGCTTAGATAGGATTAAAAAACATGTATCAATATGGTGATTTTCTTTCGTCTTTCAATGATAATGTTATTAAGCTTATCAGACGATATGAAAGGAATTTGCATAAAATGACTAGACAAAACTTGTCTATATTATTTAATGAAATATGCATCAATGAAAAATACTACCTAATACACACACACACAAATATATATATATATATATATATATATATATATATATATATATAATTTTTGTATGTATGTATGTATGTATGTAGTTATATGTTAATGTGCCCGATGTAAATTGGAAATAATTTATTGCTTATTTTTAAAGTTTTTTGAATTTTTATTATTATTTCAAAATATATGTATATATCTTTTTATCATATACGACGAAGAGAAGAAAAAATATGGCAATCTCAAAGTAATAACAAATCGTTTCATTTTTCACCATGGCAATTTTTGAATAAAACATTCCTGTTAATAATGTTTATAAAAAATGTCTGTTGTTATCATTCTGTGTCTTTCCTGATTTTGTTGTTCTGTGACGTCACATTCGGGAACGCTTAATCTCAGAGATTTTTGAAAGTGTGATTTCCATTCTGTCATTTCATGTCAAGTCTCGTTACAGTCATTTTCGTCTGGTCTCGCTACAGTCATTCTCGTCTGGTCACGTTACAGTCATTCTCGTCTGGTCACGTTACAGTTATTTTCGTCTGGTCTCGTTAAAGTTGTCGTCTGCTCTCGCTTTGTTTTCTCTGTTTTCATTCTTTCTCCTTCACTCTCTCTCTCTCTCTCTCTCTCTCGCTTTTTAAAAAAAAATTATTCATGTCTTGTCCAAAAACGGGTTTGTCTATTATCATCTTTATTTCTCATTGTCTCTTTTTTATCTATTTTTATCTCTATTTTATTCTTGATTTAATTCTGGTGCTTACAACTTTCTTTTTTCTTTTTCTTTTTTTTTTTTTGCTTTATAATGTACATTTTCTCGTATTTTTCTTTATTATTTTTAAAAATTGTCCATTTTTTATTTTATATTCTTTTAAAACTTATTCTAGTCTTTTTCCTCCGTTCCCATTTTTTCTCGTCTATATCTCGTATCTTCTCGTTTCCATCTCGTATCTTCTCGTCTGCTCTTTCTGATTCCTTTTATATTAGTGATTACTTCTTACTCCTATGGCATCCTTCTGGAAGTGTCTTCTCACGAAAAATTAACTTTGACAGACACCATAGCTCGGGACTCAGGTTTGGACATTGGAGATCTTGGGACAGCAATACTGGACCGAACAGTGTGGCAAGGGATTGTCAATGGAGTTGTAACCAACCACAGGGCGGTCGAAAGATGGTGTTGAACAGTACGAGCGGGATACTCTATTTTCCATTATTTTTTTTATTTTTTAGAATTTTGGTTCATTTTTTCCTCCTTTTTATTTCTTTTCTTGGATGTTTTTCGCTGTCTTTTTTCTTTCTATTCTTATACTTCTTTCTCAGTCTCATTTGACTTCTCTTCTCGTTTTCCCATGCATTACTCTTTCTTCTTACCCATTCTCGTCTACTATTTCGACATATTTCCGACACTGCCCTTTTCTTCTCTTCCCGAAAGCCTTTACAATTTTTTCCACTGCCATTGCTACAACTTACCTTGACTTTTGTCTTGTGTCTCATGTCTCATTCCTCCATGTTTACTCAATACCTGTCTACTTTTTTTTTTTTTTTTTTCGTTTACCCTTTTGGTTTCTTTGTTGCCATCAAAGTCTTAATTTCAGGTTTGTCTTCTTCTTTTCTCGTTTTATATCTTATGTTGACGTCTCTACATTTTTCAAAAATTATATTCCGTTAATATATAGACACTCATATATACTTCCTTGTCAAATCTCGTCCATTATCGTCAAATCACGTCGTAATCATTTTACCAATATATTATATTCTAATTTCAGTTTATTTACATAATCTAAAGCTGGAATGTCGTACGTCCATTTTTTTATCAAAAATTGTTCATTAAAAATTATTAATTCATTTTTGTAAGTTTATTTTTATTTATAAATGTATACATATCGGAGGTTGGTGCTTATTTTAGACAGTCTGACTCACAAAAAGAAGTTTATCTAATTTTTTTTCTAGGGGAGACATATCTGTAAAAATTACTTGAAGAATATAACGTCAGCTCTTTTTTTATATATATAATTTTTAACTACCCAGTAATCTTAAAAAAATAGTAAAATATTCTTCGCAATCTAATACTTTATTGAAGTTTACGTAATTTGGTTTTGAATTGACTACAGTTAGCGCACTTATTTTTTGATAATGCTGTGTATGGGCTTCCGTATTTATAATCGCCTTCGATACAGAAGGATTGATATAAAGATATATACTATAGTTCAAAAGTTTCAAGACACACCCAGAATTAGCTTGGGATGAACTTGGCAGAAGAGTAAAAGCATGGAGTCGGAAGTGACGTCCACAAGCAAGAAGTGCGAGAGAAGAAACTGTTAACATAGAACTTACGGTTATACGTAGCCAAATCAACTGTGAAACGGTGAAACTTTGTCGCCAGTCTGATGCTGTACTTATAATTAATAAAATATTGGCACCATAGCGTAGCGCTCATCTGAACAATTACCATGAATGTATTTAAAGAAAAGGCAGAGGGAGGCAACATTACAGCGATGGTAAGGGACTGAAACCAAGATGCCAGATCAGGACCAATAATATATCTGATTCTTCTTTGCATCTTATAAAGTATGAGGACAGAAGGTCAGAATTAAAAGAGTTAACACTTTGTTTTTAAATTTCCTTAAAATTTAATTTACTGACACCTGAAGAAATATAATCATAGTATTGAAATATGAAACATTTTGTGTAGCGATTTCAAAATATATTCATTATAATCATTAATATATATATATATATATATATATATATATATATATATATATATATATATATATATATATATATATTTAAATATAAAAAAATATAGTTTTAAGGTCTGCTATATCAGTGACAGAGCGTATGTAAATATAAAACTGAACATTAAAGTCAATACTCAGAGGCGATAAATTGTTTCATGCTAAACGCAATCCTCAGGTCTGATGTTTGCTTTTAATGAAACAGGGTGTCGCCTCTGAATGATGACTAGTAAAACCTTTCATTTATATATATATATATATATATATATATAAGTGAACATTTTCAAACATTCATATATATATATATATATGTATATATATTTGTTGGATAAATTTGTAACCCTGGGTTTCACGCTTTCGTTTAATCAGACAAAATCCAATCACAAAACTCAGGGCTAAAATTAATATCCATATCCTATTGAATATGTTAGCTCTATCACAGAAACTGAAGCAAAAATGAATAATGTATTATATATATATATATATATATATATATATATATATTTTTGAGAGAATAGAGAGAGAGAGAGAGAGAATTCACACATACATATATATGTATATATATATATATATATATATATATATACATACACACATACAGAAATATATATATATATATATATATATATATATATATATATATTGGATATATAAATATTATAAATTAATATATGTAATATCTAATTCGTTTATGTCCGTATATTTACCATTCTTTTATATTATATTTATATATTCTTTATATATATATATATATATATATATATATATATATATATATGCATGTTTATTTATAAAACACCTTGTGTACACATATATATACACACACACACACACAAACACATATATATATATATATATATATATAATAATCGATTGTTTATTCCTTTTTACCTATATTTCTTTCATAATCCCATGCCAAGCCATAACCAACGCTCGTGGGCAAGGGAAGGATTGGAGTTTTTGTTGTTTTCACTTAATTAATTAAAATTTATATGGACAAATCTCTTCTCAGGATATCAGCTCTGCTTGATAGATATATATTTGGGGGGATATCTATAGAGAGGGATTTTGTTGATTTGTTGTGGAGTTCTTTTCTCTATCAGATCCAATGCTCCAGCCATAACAGGAACAGATTTCGTTTTTATGTACCACATTTTCTTTTCTATTTCCATATCCATGTCTTTATATTTATTTTGTGTTTTTTTTTTTTGTTTTTTTAAACCTTCGCGGAGATGTTTTTTGTCACATGGTATGCTCTTGTTTTCTGGGCGATTTGTTTGTATTCTTCGATCTGTGTTGACAACAAAATATCTCAGAGTATGGTAATATCTGCTCCTTCAACTATAGATTCAGGATAATGTTCGTTCCAGTTTTTTTCGTTATTATAGTTGGTATGGCATCCATTCGTCTCGATGAACCATTGACCTGCATCTGAAGAATTTTCTCTCTCTCTCTCTCTCTCTCTCTCTCTCTCTCTCTCTCTCTCTCTCTTTCTGTATCTCTCTAGGGTGCAGGCCTAGGCAGGGTTTTTTTTATGAGAGATCAGATCATGCAATCTGCCCTCTCCAGCCACCGGTGTTGTCTCCAGGCGTTGTCGCAATTAAATGAATTTGGACATTCAAAGAAAAAACCTCCAGCTCGGATTTTTCGGCCTTCTACTCGTCTGTTTAAAAGGCTAAGAGCTCAGAATGAATTTACCACAATTGGAGGTTAGGATTTCTATGTTTCTTTCCTGACCGGTTTTGCTATAGGAACCCAGTCTCCTGATTTAAAAATGAATACTATTTTAGAAAAGAATCTTCTTCTTATTATTATTATTATTATTATTATTATTATTAATATTTCCTTTGAAAGAAACATGCCAGCCATGGGTACAGGTTAACATCAGTACTATTTTTCCACTATTTTTTGTACCATTTTAAAAAAAAACAAACAACCTAATATTACACATTTTCTAAACAAAAAACAAACAACCTAGACCACATTTTACCAAAAAAACAAACAACCTAATATTACACATTTTAAAAAACTGCAACCTACAAATTTACAAAACCTAATATTACATTTTACAAAAAAAAACAAACTAATCTTCTTTACTTAATATATTATTTTAAAAAACAAACAAACTAATATTACATTTTACAAAAAACAAAAACAACCTAATATTACATTTTTACAAAAACAAACAAACTAATATTACACATTTTACAAAAAAAAAACAAACTAATTTACATTTTTACAAAAAAAAACCCAAACAACAATATTACCTTTTTAAAAACAAAACAAACAAATATTACATTTTACTGAAAAACAAACAACCTTTTGTTTTAAAAAAACAAACAACCTAATATTTTACAAAAAAACAAACAACCTTTTTACAAAAAAAAACAAACAAACTAATATTACACATTTTACAAAAAACAAACTAATATTACACATTTTACAAAAAACAAACAACCTAATATTACACATTTTAAAAAACAAACAAACTAATATTACACATTTTACAAAAAACAAACTAATATTACACATTTTACAAAAAACAAACAACCTAATATTACACATTTTACAAAAAAACAAACAACCTAATATTACACATTTTACAAAAACAAACAAACAAACTAATATTACACATTTTACAAAAACAAATGATATTACAAACAAACAAAAACAAACAATCTAATATTTTTTACAAAAAAACAAACAAACATTACATTTTTACAAAAACAAACAACCTAAATATTAAATTTACAAAAAAAAAAACAAACTAATATTACATTTTACAAAAAAAAACAACCTAATATTAACCTAATACATTTTACAAAAAAAAACTAATATTATCATTTTACAAAAAACAAAAAAATAAACAACCAAAAAAAAAAACAAATAAATAAATTACAAAAAACAAAAAAAAACAAAAAAATATTACATTATTTTACAAAAAAACAAACAAACTAATATTACACATTTTACAAAAACAAAACCTAATATTACATTTTATTAAAAAAAAAAAAATAATTATTAAAAAAACAAACAACCTAATATTACAAAAAAAAACAAACAAAAAAATTTATTTTAAAAAACAAACAACTTTATTTTTACATTTTACAAAAAAAAAAAAACAAACAATATACATTTTTAAAAAACAAACAAACTATATTACATTTTACAAAAAAACAAAACAAACAATATTACACATTTTACAAAAAAACAGTTTACAAACTAATATTAACTAATATACATGTTCAAAAAAACAAAAACTTTATTAAGGAAAACAAACAATATTTTTTACAAAAAACAAACAAACTAAAAAACAAATTACAAAAAAAAAACAAACAAATTAAAACTTAAAAAACAAAAAACAAAATTTTTTTTCAAAAACAAATAATTTTCACAAACAAACTAATAATTTTACAAAAACAAAACAATTTTTTAAAAAAAAACAACATTTATTTTTCAAAACAAACAAACTAATTTTAATATTTAAAAAAACATTTAAAAAAAATTACAAAAACAAAGACATTTTACATGAAAACAAACAAACAAAAATATAATTTTACAAAAAAAACTAATATTAAACACTTATTTTTAAAATAAAAATTTAAAAAAACAAACTAATTTAAACATTTTCAAAAAACAAAAATAAATTAAAAAACAAACAACCTAATATTTTTTTTAAAAAAAACAAACAAAATTGTAAAACAAAAATTTTAAAAAAAATAAACTATTTAAACATTTTACAAAAACAAACAAAAATAAATTTTCTAATTTAATATCAGATATTTTAAAAAACAAACAACCTAATATTACATTTTTATAAAAAAAAAATAACAAACTAATTTACAAACTAATATTATCATTTTACAAAAACAAACAACCTAATAAAAAATTTAAAAAAAACAAACATATTTACATTTTTTAAAAAAACAAACAAAAATTTAAAAAAAACATTTAAAAAAAAAACAAACAACCTAATTTTTCAAAACAAAAAACAACCTCTTAAAATTTGTGAATTTAACATTTACAAAAAAAAAACTTATATTAAATTTTTAAAACAAAAATTTAATAAAAAAACTAATTTTACAAAATTTAAACTATACTAATATTTTTAAAAAATAAACAAAAAAACAAAAAATTTTAAAAATATATATGTATATAAACAAAAATGCAAAAAACAAACAACACAAACAAATACATTTTATTTAAAACAAACTTAAACTAAAATATAATTTCTTTGAAACAAAAACATATTATACAAACAAAAAAATTTTATTTTTTTAAAAAAATAAAAATATTAAAACTAATATTAACAAAAAACAAACAACATATTTTTTTTTTATAAAACATTTATTTTTTTATTCAAAAAAAAAAAATTTGAAAAAACAAAATTATTTTACAAAAAAAAAAAAAAAACAAATAAAAACAATTTAATAATATATTCATTTTATTAAAAACAAACTTTTATTAAACAAAATACAAATTCAGATTCCTCTTTTTAAAAAAACAAAACAAACTAATAAAAAAAAAAAAACTAACAACCTTATATCCAAACAAACAAACTTTTTTATTGTTTTAAAAAAAAGTTTTTCCAATAATACAATTTTACAAAAAAAACAAAAGTTTTAACTAATTTTTAATAAAAAAAAAACAAAAAATATTACATTTTACAAAAAACTAACAACTAATTTTTTTGATTTTAGATAAAACAAAAAAACTAATTTAAACTAATTTATCACTAATTTAAGTTTTACTAAAAAACAACCTAATTTTTACAAAAAAACAATCAACCCAAACAAATTTTAAACAAACAAATATATTTATGTTTCAACAAATTTTATTACATTTTTTCAATTAAACAAATACCATTATATAATTTTAAAAAAAAAATCAACATAATCACAATTTTTTTCAAACTCTTCGAATTGTGAGCTGTACTTTTATTTTTATTCCTTTTTTTTTTTTGATAAATTTGTTTGGTCAAAATCAAAAATGAGTTTTTCCATAAATTCTGTACTGAAAATAAATAAATAATAAATAAAATTTCAAAAAAAACATTAATGACATAAAAATCCTTGAAAAATATAAGGAACTGAAACCCAATCCTAAATCATTATATTTTGTTTGTTCAAAATACATGGGTGAAAGGAACATATAATAAAGCAAATCTATTCCTATTGTTAAGAGATCATAGAATTTGAAGCTGTCAAGATTTAAATAAGAAAGAGAAATAAAATGAAAATATATTGAAACTCCGCTAATATCTTCAATCATTCCTATATAATGCAAGACAGAAAGCTTACATAATTCAAAAAATAAATGGAAGTTGTAAACCGTTTTGATTTAAACAAGAGATCTTAAAAACTAATACTCCAATGATAATAACTACAACTAAAAAGGATTTAACAAAACTTAATATAAAATTTGTTACTAACACTTTAAAACGGCAAGAGATTTAATTAGCACAAAAATGATCCGATAAATTTATATTCGCATCATAACAACAAAATAAAACCAGCAATACTAATCGATTTCTTAATTTTTTTAAAATCATTCACCCCAAGCAAGGCGATAATGTCACTAAGGCGTTGGATGTGAAAGAGAATAAAAAGACTTTAGAAGGAACCGGCATCCCAATCCTAAACAAGAACCAACTGATAAACCTCTACATATTTTCAAAAAAAGAAAGAAAAGTGAATTTTACTCCTATTTCTAATTTTTTACAATTTTTTTTGTCTTCTATTTAACCAAAGCTCCTCTACTGTCTTAATTTATTTTATATTCGAAAACAAGAAATAAATATATATATATATATATATATATATATATATATATATATATATATATAAAGATGTAAATTTAATTCCATTTTAATTTAAATAATCATCGCATATATTACGATAGAATTGGTTATTTTCTAACTTTCGCTTTCTTGAAACGTAGATTAGATGAGGCATTGGATGCCGAGCAGTAGAGTAAGTTTTATATGATCATTTTATTCTGTTGGCATAAAAATGAATCTAGAGCTTTTATTAAAATTTTCAAATTTTGTCTGAAGTACTGTTTTTTTTTTTGGCTTTATTATTAAAATGACTGGTGGCTAAAATACTTTGAAGTGTGTTTTTTTTTTAGTGTCATATGCGGTCCAATGAAGGTCGGTCACATGTGCATATTGACGCAAAAACACGAAGAACCGATGCCAATTTTGACACAGTGCGAACTTAATGTGCTCAGATCGAAGCTTAAAATGTGAAACTGAAATTCTAAAAAATAATAGGAATAGGAAAAATTTTATCGCAGATCCTCATAAAATTGGATTTCGAAATGAAAAGAATTTTTAATCAAATTTTTTGAATTTCTAACTGAGAAAACCTATTACAAAAAAAGGAGCCATCTACTTTGTTCAGCAGATTTAATTTTTGAGTATTTCTTAACATGACAAAAATACGCAATCTTCCCTGGTATCCAGCAACACATGTCTGCATTACGGAAACGTATTCGGAATAACAA